GCAGAAATAGTTCAATGCTGAGTTTCCTGCTCGGGAAGTCTGAAAGAAGCAGCAGCTTCCGGATGAATGGAACTTCAAGCCAGTTTTTCCCCACCCTCTCCCAAGCCCACATAAATGAGATATCGAAAGGGGCACAGAAATTGAACCAAATCCTTAGAGCTTGCTCCAACGGTCTCAACTTTGATGGGTATTCTATAGAAATTGGAAAGGAACTGCTGAAAGGCGCCATGGATTTAGAAGAGTCATTGAGAATGCTTGTGAACCTTCAGGAAGCTGAGGAGTACATGATTCCCCCTCAGAGAAAGAACCGAATAAGATTGCTGGAGGAGGGTGAAGAGGACGAAGAAAGCACAGTCAAAATATCTGAACAGAAGCAAGTTGCTAGGCCAAGGTTCTCCTTCGATAAGCCCTCGAAGAAGGTTACAAATACATCCTCAAGTGAGGCTCCAAGTCTTTCCAGAAAACAAGCTGTGAGTAACTTAATGTTGGTGCCTCATAAGAGGTCAGCTAGTTGTGGCCCTGATTTCAGACCACTTGTGGCATCCTCAGAACTGAAGGATCACACAACTCCATCACAGGCCAAAACAGATAGAGGCAAAATTCCGAATGTGATTGCTAAACTTATGGGACTTGAAGAACTACCACAAATTGCAGATTCAAAGAGCACAGCGAAAGTATCAAGCTCCAAGCATAAAGAAGGGATGGTTTCAAAGAAGATCCCACACACAAGTACCAAAAATGCTGTTCCCCATCTGTCTATAGAGAAAAAATTAGTACAATCCAACTACACAGGAGCAGCTAAATCATCAAGTTCAACTTCAGAGTATCAGGAAATCCAAGTGGCTCGAAATGCCATCTCTGAATCAGTGGTTCCAAATGGAAAACTGCTCTGGAAGGACCAGCAAAGCAACATAGGCCAGTTGTACTTTATGGGAAGCCAAAACGATTTTCAGGAGGCAAGAAGAGAGGATAATTCAATGCACAGACGACAAACAAGTATGAAAGGGGAAGAAACCAAGCAACCGGTCCAAAAGGATGATGTCCAGAAACATAAAACTTTGGAAGCTGTGAATAAAATCAGAGGCAAGGAAAGCAGTCTTCGAGAAGAAAAAAGAAATGGAAACAGGATTCCTCCAAGCAATCCAAAAAAGCCCCAGTATGATCATGGAATGCATCAACAGCAAACCCAACCAACATCTGAGCTTCAAGAAGATAAGAATCAAGCAGAAAATAAAGAGCAGCAACATGCAAAACAAAAGGTCAAGTTCATAAAACAGAAAGGAATTGAAGCAGAACCCAAGGATCCATCACAATCAATGCGTGATGCTATTGGTTTGCAAACGAAGCAGCACTATGGAAACCATGAAATACATAATAAAAGAAGTTCTACAGAAGTTAAGGGTGAACGGCCATTGAAATGGCTGCCAAAAAGCAAAAACCAGGAAGAACTTAGTGCAAATGGAAGTTCAACTAAGTTGAAAATCCATACGAGGAATTCAAAGAATGGAAACTCCGATCAAAATGCATACCCAAGAGAATTAGGATCTGAAAAAGACAATGCAAAAGGAAGCATTCCATCTGTTGCAAAAGAGAAACCTGACCGCTTCCCAACCATGCAAAAAAAGGACAATCATATGAAAGCGCATAAAAGTGAAAGCCCCCGAAATATAGATGAAGTACTGACAAGAAGGAATGGAACTCTCCGTAACTCAAGGCCACTCAAACATCAGATTCCGATATTGCATGGAATGAAGCAGAAAAGGCTTGAAAAGACCAGCAGTCCAAAAGGAACAGAACAGGTGAGTAGCAGCTTCTCCAAAGAAGCAACAGCACAGAACCTTCGTCCCAGGGAATCAGAAGCAAGTATTGAATTGCAGAATGTGGCACTACCACAGAATAAAGAAGGTGAACAGGCTCCAAATTTGTACAGTTCTGAGGCAGATGAGCTCCACAGGCAAAGCATAACACAGTTCCCTATTCCAAATGAAACTGTAAGTTTATGCATTTTTTTTCAACAATTGCACCATATAGTCTCTCTCTCTCTCTCTCTCTCTCTCTCTCTGTGTGTGCGCGCGCGCGCGCATGCGAAATAAAAGGGAAAGAAAAAGGAAATAATGCAGCAACCAAGACACGGAAAACCAAAACAACGCAAATACAGCCATTCAAGTCACCCCACTATATCAAGTGTAGTTTAACTATTGTGTAAAATCATACCAGAGTTTCCCTAGAAATGCATATTTATAAAAGTTGGCATCACCCTAATTATATTTACTGGATGTATGCAGTGCCAAAGCAAACTCTCAGCACTATCTGCAGTACCTATTGATAGCCAATACCAAGCACCTGTTTTCATCGAGGGTCATGAACAGAAGTCTCTGGAAATTGCATCAAGTCCACTTACGGGTAAGTGCAAATGTCCAATATTGCAATCCAAATTAAGTTCCACCCTTCTAAAATGAAACCAACGATTCATTTTCAACCAAAGGGCATAAGAAGGAAATGAAAAAAGACTTTGTCAACCTCCCCAAATGGCAAGATCTAACTCATCCTCCTAAGCATTCGTCCTGAAGCAAGATACCAATTCCCTGCATTATGGAAACATTTCAGCCTGTTTACTGATTTATGTTTGTCAAAAAAACGCACTCCTAACAACCTCTCTAAATAAGCCCACCTCAAATTCACTATGCCTGCCATAATCCCCCGGGAGGTTGGTTGGATGGCTAGACTCTTGGGATGTTATCCTAGGGGTCTCAAATTCACCTCTTGGCAAATGCCAAGGTCCTTGCTCTTTGCCCATTACAGGAGATTGGGATCCTCGGTACCTCAGGTTTGGGTGTTGAGTCACAGGGACTTGAGATGGGCCAAAGGCACAACCTGGCTGCTAAAGTGATTGTGTTCCCTAAGTGTTCAGGGGAAAAAAAAATCACCTCCGTGACGTAATAGACACCTCAACACCTGTGGAAGGATCCTTATTTCAATAACACATATCATTTCTCCTTCCTTCTTTGCCTAAATCCATCATCCAGGTTTCAGTCAAATATGACATTTGCCACACAAAAAAGAAGAAGAAGAAATCGCCATCCTTTTTTGCCTGGATCTCAGCTTCCTGGTTCTAGTCAAATATGGAATTTGCATATAAATCAGAACTGCAGAAGATTAGTTGTTGAAGTAATTGAACCTCATCTTTTTTATGTCGCAGGAGTTGATGGAGGAAACACCGAAATCACTTACCTTCCACTGCATGAACAGAAGGATATTCTGACACCACGACCACAAGAGAACCTGACGGAAAACGAAATAAATCTCAAGAAGATATTGATCGAAAGTCAAATTTTCCTGAACACGGCAGAGGCACTGTTCAAACTGGACATACCCTTTGACATCCTTCCTGTCACTGAATATAGCAGTCAAGATGAAGACAGAAACCTTGTATTAGACTGTGGGTTCGAAATAATGAAAAGAAAAGGACGAAGACAGGAGCTCACTGTTCATCCCCACCTCAACATATCAATCATCTCCATGAAGGTAACATCTCTGGACGACTTGGTGAAGCAAATATACAAGGACTTGGGAAAGTTGAAATTCAACGACGTGAACGGGTGTGATGGATATAAGGAAGCAGAGCACCTGCGAAAAATGCTCACGAGAGACATTCAAAATAGAGATGCAGATGTGAACGGTATGTGGGACTTGGGTTGGCACGAGATGATGTTCACGATTCTTGAGAAAGACGAGCTCGTAAGGGATGTGGAGAAGTATTTACTCAATGGAGTGATAGATGAGATCATGAAAGATCTGCTTGATCTGAGTGTTGTTTTATTTGACTGAAGAATAATAAGCAGCAACAACAACAATAATAAGCGGTGTTTGTAATTTGAGTAACACTCGTTTGATAACTTCCATACATGTAAAGCAAAATTCACATAGCCTGACGCGGTTTCGCAACATGAAATCAAAAGTTAATATTCATGTTTCGCAATCTCACGTGTCTGTTGTAATCCCATATCCCATATGTTACCACATGCCAAATCCATTTTCGCTTATCTTACGATTTTCGAAAGCTTGACCGTGATAGAGTCACTGAGGAAAAAACTGGAGGAATAATTGCCTCCTATGATCATTAAGATCAATAATGCATTGTGTGAGATACTGCTAAAGCTTCTTATGGAATTTGTAATAAGCAGCGAATGACTATCTGCAATTATAGATTAGCTAGACTGACAAAAATAAGTGAAACTAAGCTATCACCCCAACTTAGTATGGCGATTGGCGATCGATGAATCATTCTTCCGAACAAAGAAGGAATCAAACGATTCAGATATATACAACGTTGGGAGTAAATGCATAGAACATCGTAAAGCGCACCTCGTAAAAAATTTATTTCATATTTTCATCTTGATGAGAGGAATTGAAAAAGTATAAAGATATGAACCAAAGTTACAAGACGACGAAAAAGACTTCAAAAGATTGTCTAGAGACCCAAAAAGATATGGACCAAAGTTAAAATTTTTGTGTGTTTTTTGTCGTCTAATGTAACTTTTTTCCAACTTTGGTCAATATCTTTGTTCTTTTCCGATTCCTCTCTCAAGCTGAACAATGGGATGTGAAAATTATAAGAATTAAGAGAAAGGAACCAAAAATCACACAACAAATAGTCTCTAAAAAGTTCGGTCCAATTAGGGGTAGTTTACTAGCTAATTACGATAAACAAAAAACAGACGAGTTAAACTTTAACAAAATTGTAAACTCATTAAAATTATTCTATCGGACACTGACCACATGCGACGGTTTATGGCGGCATCCTCGCATTTTCACCCATGCAGATAAAAACGTCACGTATGTTGATTCTTATTTGAGTTTTTTCACGAGCTCAATTATACTACATCAATCACATTCCACATGAGTGTTATTTTTGTACATTCGCGTGGGTGTTACGGTGTGCATGTGTTAGTTATCTTATGTTTAAAAATAACTTTTTCTCCATGAAAGGCTCAACAAGCTCCGTTGTCGTCCAGCGGTAGGACCCCCGGTTTCCACCGTTGATCCCAGGAGACCCGGGTTCGAGTCCCGGCAGCGGAGTATCCTCTTTTCCCTTCTCTATCGTGGCCTCCATTTTTTGCCCAATAGGACCCTCGAAAGGAATTTGTTCTCCCACGATCCGGATCCCATCCCTCCCGACACGTGACTCCAATCCAAACCTGAGGATCCCCTGTCCGAATCACGTGTCCTACTCTTTGGAGCCGTTGATCTCGTAAATCAACGGCTGAGATGTGCCGAGCCAAAACGACGTCGTTTTGGTACAAAAAGTGTCCGGCACATTTTAGCCGTTGATTTGTAAGATTAACGACTCCGAAGAATGGGATAGGCCCCTGTCCGGATTGGGCTCGGACAGGGGATCTGGTCTCCTTCGCACGTAATATCTCTTTTTTGGCCACTTTTTGTAAGAATAATCTATTTTCTTAATCCATCATCATCTTCAGTTCTTCACTACACAAATTCTGTGGAGACCCACTGGCCAATTTCCCTCACAAATCATCTACAGGTACGAGCTCAACGCCAAAGACTCTCTCTCTCTCTCTCTCTCTCTCTGTGTGTTGACGACTTCTTTGTGATCTGTACCCGTTTCGCTCAAGAATTGTTGCGCTGCTTTCTCTGAGGTCTCTCGTTCTTCCAATAGAAGTTTGTTTTTGTTTTTTGTTTTTTGTTTTTTTTTGTGTGGGTAATTCGGAAATATGTCAATAGAAGTTCAGTTGATCTAAAGATTCGTTTTTTGTTATCTGTGGAGCTCGTGTTTGAGATTTGTTGTGCGATTAGAGGCTAACACGGGGTTGGATTCGTTGGCATTGACGATCGATCGATGAATCATTCTACCGAACAACGATTGAAGGAATCAAACGATTCAGATATATATACAACGTTGGGAGTAAATGCATAGAACATCGTAAAGCGTACCTGGTGATGGAAGTGAGGGGTTTATCCGATGATCGACTCTAGACAATGCAGAAACGGGAAACAGAAACAAGCAGTTTTTGAAACACAACCGCGAAAATCATATCTAAAGAGGAATTTTTCGGTGCCGAGCGGGTATTGCCCACGTAACATCCGTTCGGCGCATCCGAATCGTCTGATACACGTCTGGAAGGCTCGGATTAAAACCGTCTCTCTTCTCTCACCGTAACGCTTTCTCTCTCTTTTTCTCCTTCAAAATCTGAGCCGTTGAAAAACGAAATGAACATGCGCGAACGGGCACCACGTGGTACCCGCTCGTCAGTGCAAATTTTTCTCCAAAATGAACCTCGTACACTCGTAGTCGTAGGAATTCGGGTATTAGAGGCTGGGTTTATATCACTTTGGCCCCTAAAGTTGTATAGGAGTTTCATATTGCACCCTTGATTTTTTGAATCAATTGCAAGCTACGCCCCCCTTGGCCTATTTTTTTTTTTTTTTAAAGGAATTAAAAGGTTATTTTCTCTTAATCTTTCAAGACACAGGTAAAAATTTTATTTCATATTTTCATCTTAGTGAGAGGAATTGAAAAAGTATAAAGATATGAACCGAACTTGAAAAAAACTTATACAAGACGACGAAAAAGATTGTCTAAATACCCAAAAAGATATGGACCAAAATTAAAAATATTATCTGTTTTTGTCCTCTCTCAAGCTGAACAATGGGATGTGAAAATTATAAGAATTAGTAAGAAAAATGAACCAAAAATCACAAAACAAAAAGTCTCTATTAGGTCCAAGGGCTGGGTTAGCTAATTAAGATAAACAAAGACAAACGAGTTAAACTTTAACAAAATCGTAAACTCATTAAAATTATTCGATCGGACATTGACACATGCGACGATTTATGGAGTCATTCGTAGGCGTGTTATGGGTGTGCATGTGTAGAAATGTTTGGATTAAATTAGCTTTTCTCGAAACGAGGTTCCACAAGCTCCGTTGTCGTCCAGCGGTTAGGATATCTGGCTTTCACCCAGGAGACCCGGGTTCGATTCCCGGCAACGGAATATCCTCTTTTTTCCTTCTCGTGGCCTCCCTTTTTCCCCTGACACGACCCTCGAAAGGAATTTGTTCCCCCATGATCCGGCTCCCATCCCTACCGACACGTGACTCCAATCTAACCCCCTTCGCACGTAATTTCTCTTTTTTGGCCACTTTCTGTAAGAATAAATCTGAATAGGACGTTCTCTTTCCTAATCCATCATCATCTTCAGTTCTTCACGACACAAATTCTGTGGAGACCCACTGACCAATTTCCGTCACAAATCAGCTACAGGTACGAGCTCAACGCCAAATACTCCTCTGTGTGTGTGTGTGTGTGTGTGGGTGGGTGAGTGTGTTGACGACTTCTTTGTGATTTGTATCCGTTTCGCTCAAGAATTGTTGCGCTGCTTTCTCTGAGGTTTCTCGTTCTTCCAATAGAAGTAATTTTTTATTTTATTTTATTGGGTAATTCGGAAATATGCCAATAGAAGTTCAGTTGATCTAAAGATTCGTTTTTTGTTATTTGTGGAGCTCGTGTTTGAGATTTGTTGTGCGATTAGAGGTTGACACTGGGTTGGATTCGTTGGTAAGCGTGAACGGACAGTAGATGAGATGAGTATGATTCATTGTGCAACCTTTTGTTTAGCTGCCGAGAAAGTTCTAAGATATATAGTCAAAAAGGGCTCATCTTAGCTTTGGTGCAGTCGGATAATTATGTATTTATGTTCAGTCAAAGCCCAATTATGCGCTTTGGTTCTTTTGGGCGCTAAACAGCAAAAATATTGTCACCGTAATAAGAAAGAATAAGAAGTATATTACGCGGTTAGAAGGGCAGCCTGGATGCAACGATAAGGTTACCCAATGTGACCTGGCAGTCACAGGTTTGAGTCGTGGAAACAGGCAGAGAGCTTAGGTGGGCAAGGCTGCGTATGTCTAACGCTACCCAGACCCTACTGTAGCGGAACCTCGTACATTGGGTAGCCGTTTTAGGAGTATATTACAGTGTTAGCAGATTGTTGAGGGTTTGCAATACAGAGTTCGTGTGTGATTTATGGTCGATATGGTTTGGGGAAAAGAGTGATTTTGAATTACTGTTGAAATTACTGCAGATGGCTTCATCTACTCTTATCTGTGACACGGAGCAATGGAAGGACTTGAAGGTAACTTGTGTTGATCATAGAAGTTTATAAAGAATACGGAATATGGCTATCATGTGAAAGTTGTATCTCTGTTCAGGCCCATGTCGACGACATTAAAAAGACACATTTACGTGAATTGATGAGCGACACTCAGCGATGCAACTCCATGATGGTGTATGATACTCTACTTAACTTGTTCAAGTCATCTTGTTCTTATCTGTTTTGATATGGATTTCACCTTTATGGTCTGTAATAAGCATTGAATTCTATTCTGCATTGTAATCCCGATATCTGATTTGCAGTGAATTCGATGGGATACTATTGGACTACTCACGGCAATGTGCTACCCTCGAAACAATGGATAAGCTATTCAAATTGGCAGAGGTGCGTTGAACAATTTACTTTCTTTTTCTCTGGGGTAATGTCAGAATACATTTTTTTAAATCGTGCTTTCATGTATCCTAATGCAGGCAGCAGGTCTCAAAGGAAAAATTAACAGGATGTTTAACGGGGAGCGGGTGAGTATGTTTAACTTTCTTCTTCCAATCAAACATGACTTGCATAAACCGACCTACTAGTTAAATCCTTCATCATTGTTTTTAATGGCACCTTCAGATAAACAGCACGGAGAACCGGTGTGTCCTTCATGTGGCTCTCCGTGCTCCAAGGGATGCAGTTATAAACTGCGATGGAAAGAATACGGTCCCAGATGTTTGGCAAGTTCTGGACAAGATCAGGGAATTCTCTGAGAGGGTGCGCAGTGGTTCCTGGGTAAGGTTTGGTTGTTAATATCAGTAAATTAAGCATTTATCACATAAGTGTGAGTGTAAGTTGTAACTTGTGGATACCTATTGTTAGGTTGGAGCTACAGGAAAACCATTGAAGGATGTTGTAGCCATTGGTATAGGTGGCAGCTTCTTAGGTCCTCTTTTTGTGCATACAGCTCTTCAAACAGGTTGACACTATGTGTTCCAGTCTTCAGCTGTACAATACTATCACTTTCACTGTATTTTTGTACTTGTTTCCTGATCAACTTGGTTATGTGTGTTTATATGTGATGTGTGGTTAACTCTTGGAAATTTTCCAGATCCAGAGGCTTCTGAATTTGCAAGAGGACGCCAACTGCGCTTGTAAGTACAGATCTGTCGCTGGCTCTATTTTCTCTTTTGGTGGATTGCATCAGTGAAATAGAGAGGACCTTTTATGTCACCGAAGTAGTTGGATCTTGCATAGGTCTTTTAAGTTTTCGTCCTGCATGACAGTATAGTGGTGATCTTAATCTTGCAGTAACTCTTAGTGGCATGTGTAGCTCGTTACAATCGGATTTAGGTGAAATGTTATCAAGCATTGCTCATGGTTGTGTAGGCGGCAGTTATCCCCCCCCCCCCCCTTTCTATGTATTAAAAGTGGATTATGTCATGTTTCAAGAAATTTTGTGCTAGGGGGTGTGAGGACTATAAAGATGTAAACTTTACTGAAGGCATTGCCCATGTGGCCACATATAGCCTGCGTGAAAGTGCCTATCTCATAATGAGTCTCCTACAAGGCTCTTGATATTCTAAAATTGATCTATAGATTTTGGTTTGCTGCCCAACAAACTTAGTCATGATAGCATAATTACAATTACAAGATGCCGCATGCTTTTAGGGGCAGAAGGACCCTGCATAATTACCTCTGTGCAATGCGTGCATACAAATGATGATTAAGCATGGATTTATAATAGCCTGCTCCTTTTCCTGTGTGCAGTCTTGCAAATGTTGATCCAATTGATGTTGCTAGAAATATTACTGGGTTGAATCCTGAGACTACGTTAGGTGAAGTTTTGTACTTTTGTTGTTTGGTTAAAATTTCTGTTGAGCGTTATATGCTTACTGCCTGAGCGCGACTTCGGGTTTCATATATGTGATTGAATCTGTCTGTGCTATTTGCAGTTGTGGTGGTTTCTAAGACT